GGCTTGACAAAGCCCTGGCCGGGTTGATTTAGTTGGGTTGGTCCTGCCTAGAGCAGGGGGCTGGACTTGATGGCTTCTGAGGTCTCTTCCAGCTCTAGGAGTCTATGAATTGGCTTGTCCAAGGTCACCCGGCAGCCCAGCCAAGCTTTGCTGAGCGCTCCTGGCTCTAGACCACACCACTTTCCTAGAGAAGTCACATCAGGCCTCCCCCCCACTCTCCAGGGTCTAGCCGGGTGACTCCCCCTCCTACCTGGTACATTCTGGGGGGATGTGTCCTCGGCACTCCGGGAGCTCCAGTTGCTGGGGCTGCTGGAAGTCAGGGCCGCAGAGAGCAGCACCTTCCAGTCCAGGCTCTGGCGCCTCCCCCTCCTACCTGGTACATTCTGGGGGGATGTGTCCTCGGCACTCCGGGAGCTCCAGTTGCTGGGGCTGCTGGAAGTCAGGGCCGCAGAGAGCAGCACCTTCCAGTCCAGGCTCTGGCAGTTTGTACAGGGGGCGATCGTCCGGCTGCTCCCCACTCCCCATTCCCCGCTCCATGGCCTGGAGATGGCTCTGCAGGGCCTGCAGGTCAGTGACAACGCCAGCCATTGGCCCTCATAAGCACAGCTGCCAGCCCGGGGGAAGTGGCCTGGGCGGAGAAGGAGGAAACCTCGGCCTGCTGCAAAAAAAAGGGAGAGAGCTTGGAAGGCTCCAGCAGGAAAAAAGAAACCAAAAAGGGTTGTGTAAAAACGCCCGTTTTCATCCCCCTCCCGGCACCACCTTCCACACTGTCCCTGGGGTTAGGGTTCACTTCGCTTTCCAATCTTCTCTCTGATTAGCACCCTCTCCGTCTGCCCCCCCACATCGCCCTGTCTGCCCCTTCCCTCTGCCCCCCCACATCGCCCTGTCTGCCCCTTCCCTGTCTGCCCCCCCACATCGCCCTGTCCTAACACCTCCCTCTGCACACCTGCCCTGCCTCTCTCCTCTGGTGCTGGTCCCTCCCCTGCAGGTGTCTGCCCTTCTGCTTCACAAAAAGGCGAGTGCATGTTACAGCTTTGACCACAAAAGGGGATATGTTTTGTGAGTGCGGCTTGGACACTGATTTTTGTAACTTTGTCCTGTAAAGTTTGTGGGATGTTGGGGAATCTGTATTTTAATCCCACTGATGGCTCTGAACAGACATCCAAAGGTTCTCATGGTAGTCAGCCACCAGGCAAAGTATTTTAATCTATGAAATAAAAAACTGTTAATTTTCTGTTAGCATACAGGTGGTCTCATGAGTGCCCCATTGACCCTGGGAGCTGATAGACTGGAACAGCAGCAGCTAAGGGGAGGAGATTGGATCATGTCTCCAATCTGATCTCACTCGCAGTCATCAAACAAGACGTATCTACGCCACTGACAGTGCAGAACAACCGTATTTCATCTGCAGTTCCATGACAGCAGGTGACTGACCCCACTAATTAAGCTTCAAAAACTAGTACCCTGCTACAAGAAAGGGAAAGTTCTCAGCAGTCTTAATGCTACTGCATGGCCATCACAAGCCTACCACCTCAGCACTCTTTGCAACCAGATGGCTAGAAAGTTCACCACACATTCCATCCACATCAGAGACCCAGTGCTCGAGGTCCTTGAAATGGACATGTCCTGTTCTGATCCATGAGATTAACTTCCAACATGGTTTACTTGGACTGTGAACTCTTTAGGGCAGGGCCTGAGTGTTCGTACAGCACCAAGGACAATGGGACCTGGCCATGACTGGTGTTACTGCAGTATAAATTAATAATGACAAGGTATGTGCAGAATTAGCCATTCACGTCCTCTTATTATCGATGAACATTCTGCATCTAATGCGTTTTCCACCAGACTAGACACCTAAGCAATCACTGAAGGAAACTGTTTGCCCTGCCTACCTGCAATGAAAAGAGCGTCAGCCCCCGAGGGTGTTCAGCTGAAGTGGCTCCTTGCTCATGTTCTGCTTTAGTGATTCTCTCTAGATTGTCACTGATCATCTCCAATGGTGATTTTGGTTTGAACTTCGAATGGCCTCCATCTCCAGCCCTGTCTCCCCCTTCCCTCTGCCCCCCCACATCGCCCTGTCTGCCCCTTCCCTCTGCCCCCCACATCGCCCTGTCTGCCCCTTCCCTGTCTGCCCCCCCACATCGCCCTGTCTGCCCCTCTGAGAGTTTGATCAATAGGATCTGCAAGAACTGCTCTCTGCTGGCCTGAAGTTTCTTCAGCTGCGTTAGCAAAAGCATACGTCTGTTCTCTATCCAATGGTACTTGTTCTCTTCCCATAGCGCGGGTAACGTCCATTTCTTTCCAAAGGTCTGAACATTCTAGGTCTCTATTCCAGGCCTCTCCAGGGTGCCCCACCGATTCTAACATTTGCTATAGATACAGAAAATGAACCTCAGAAGAGACAATCACACCCCTCACCAAAGCAATACAGAGACATACAATATACCAAGTAGAATGGATTGGCTGATGGAGGGTCACACGGAACGGGCATCTGAAAACTGCATGGCTCCGGTTTCATCCCGGAGATTTGTTACAAACCAGAATGAGATTCATTCTGTAAAATGCCCCGAGACCCATTGAGCCCCGTGCCTTGATAGCCTGGGTTACTGCTTCCATACAGATCCCAGCTGAACAGGGAAGCTGATACAAGAAACTGGTGTCAAAACCCTGGAGCTGGCCTGCTCCCCAGCTAGCTCTCATCCCACCAGTGAGTCTCATCCCTCCTGGTGCAATGTAATCCCTTTATCTACACATGGTTCTATGCCCAAGTCTTAACGTCATACAATGACTTCTTGATACACCCCCATTAACCAAATCCCCTCTGGGTTCTGTGTGGGGAATATGGTGACTGGAGCCATTTCACACAGTGAAAGACTGGCTAGATAATCTGCTGCACTGGCCTATAGTAAGTGCTGGGGTGATGTTTGGCTTCACAGATCATCCTGAGGGTCGGAGCTGCTCCGTGGCTGAGGGACAATGGTCTCCTGCAGACCCCGTGTTCATAGACCCCGTGCTCTACAGTGTTTCCTTAACAGATCAGTATCTCCTGCAAGCACACGTGTCCCCATCGCACTTCCTGACAAGCAGCCTGCGGCTTGCAATCTCCACCTTTCCGCTCCTACTGCAAGCCAGTCAGCATCACCTCCATCATGGAGCAGCACATGGGCAGCGGGTATGAGGGGCAGGGGAAGGCAATGCCTTCCTAAACTGCCAGCCCAGCCCCGCTCACACTCTGCCCCTAGTCCCCACCCTCCTTGAGTGTGGCACCCTCAGAGCTGGCTGGAATTCAGCCCTGACAAGGTTGGGGCCATGCCACTAATGCTCTGGGGGCTGGGAGGCTGCTCTCTCTTCACCCCTATGCGCCTGCCAGAGCCAGGGAAGGCTGGAGCTACCCATCACCTGCTAGGGGAAAGGTAGCCTGCCCTTACTGGGGGAGTGCTTGACTCCCACAGAGCGCTGGTCAGCAGAGGCAGGGCCTCGGGTGTCAGGGACAGGGATGGGGGCTTGGCTCCCCAGCCCTAGGTTCACCTGCCACACATGGAGCAGTAGCTCATTCAAAAGCAGGCTCACTTGATTTGGGGAACACTGAAGGACTCCTTGGGAGACAGCGGGACCAGGCCAGTGAGGGGAAGAAAGAGGGCCAGGGTCTTGCGGAAGGACAGTGAGGATCCACACTACAAGCAGCTATAAAAAGGTTCCTTCCCCACTAGAGAATGGGCACTAAGGGGATAAGAGGAACTGCTGGAAGGTGGGGGCAAAAAGAAAAGGGCCCAGATCCTAAGAACAGAGAGAATCCTACAAAAATGGATGGGAAGGGGGGGGCTGAAAATATCTCTGCCCCCCCATACAGATGGGGTGCCCAGTCTCCCCTCCCCCACAGGTTCCCCGGGTCAGCTGATGCGCAGTGCTCCCTCCCCTAGATCCTGCCCTGCGCTCGCCCAAGGCGGGGTCCCCCGGGTCCTCTCCGGGGGCCAGGGTGGGGCCCTTGTCAGGGGACGGTGGGAAGGCCAGAAATTACAGCCCGGTTTGACAACCAATTCCATAAGTTCACAGGACAGGTCCCTCAATAGCTAGTTAGATTCCCCAGGACGCCTCCTCCCTCCTGCTCTGGTTCTCCCTGTACCTCCCACTGCCAGAAGCTGGGATTGGTGACAGGGGAGGGGGCATGTGATGATTGCCTCTTCTGTTCATTCCCTTGGGAGCAGCTGGAATTAGCCACTGTCGGGACACAGGCTGCTGGACTCGCTGTAGCTTTGATATCGCCCAATGTGGCTGTTCTTATGTTACCCACAGAGCCGTGCCTGGCTTTAGCAGCCTGCCCGTCAGGCCAGTACTTGGCTACACAGGAGAGTAATAACAGGATAAGCTAAGGTGTGAGTTTATATTGCATCTGTATGGGTATAAGCCATATGTGGGTCGCTCTTATGCTGGTATGAGAAGGCCTTTTGTCAGGTTAGTTTATGTCACTTAAGAAGCATTGATTTTAAGCCTCCCCCCCATTTATTCCAGAGTCAATGTGTCTGGGAAACGCCATGCCTGGAATTATATTTGTATAACAGGTAACAGCTTTCCCATGAAGAAGACTCTTAAGACTCTGCGCACATTAAACCCAGTGAATTAATTTTCATAACAACCAGTGCGGGGCGTAAATACCGTGCTTGACATACAGTGGGAAACTGAGGCACAGAGACGAAGGGAGGGCAAGGTCACGCAGTGAGTCAGTAGCGGAACTGGAGCTAAAATCCTGGTCTCCTGACTCCCAAGCCATGCTTTTAACCGCCAAGACTGGCAACCTTCTGGGACGAGGCGGCTGCTTCACAGAGCTTAGCTGACCTACAAAAAATCAGAAGTCTATGAAACAAGCAGCCAGGACTGTTCTCCACTGGCTGGCCCAGGGCTGGGGTAGGACTCTAGGTTCAGTTTTGACTCGCTGTGTGACTTGAAGCAACATTTCGGGTGGGGATAATCCGGGTGTTCGGCAGGCTGGGAGTTGGGGGGGCTACACTTCTGTGTTGGCAGAGCGCTCTCGGCATCTCGCCCGGCATCCTTGACTGGCCTCCCTGGACAGCAGGGTTCGGGATGGTGCATGGAGATTGAGGTGTGGGGACCGGAAACACTCAGATGTGCCTCCTGGCTCCCTTTCTGTCCCGGGCAGGCCTTTGAGGAGAAACATCTCGCCTCCTTCGACCCGATCAAGCAGTTTGCCGTGTGGTTTGAAGAGGCCAGGCAGTGCCCCTCAATCGGCGAAGCCAATGCTATGTGCTTGGCCACCTGCACCAGGTGGGCACTGCCAGGGACCCGCTGCCAAGTTACTTGCTGGCCCAGAATCTCTCCGGCCTGCGTCTTTGGGAGGCCTCCTTTGCTTTCCTGCAAGCACGGTGCCCTGCCAGCTAGCGTATCCCGGGCGAGGAGGGAAGGAGGCGGCTTGTGACGTGTTTGTGCTGGTCAGGAGCGGGGCACAGCTCTGGGTTGGGCATTTGCCCTGTCACGTCGGGCAGCTGGCCTGCCCCTCCCAGTAGACTGGCTCCAGTGGGGTCTAATCCCAAAAGCTGTACTGTGCTTCTGTCTAGAATGAGAGACAGGGTGAGAGTGGGGGAAGCATGCCTTCCTTCCCATCACAAACTGATCCTCCCCGGGTGCAGGAAGAGGGCAGGTTCCCTTCCCCTGGGTACGGGCAGGCCAGCGGTGTCTCTGCCCGCGGTGGCACTCCTCTGCTGACTGGTGGCATTTCTTCCCTGGCTCAGGGACGGGCGGCCCTCTGCCCGCATGCTGCTCCTGAAGGGGTTCAGCCAGCATGGCTTTCGCTTCTTCACCAACCACGAGAGCCGCAAAGGAAAGGAGCTGGTGAGAGCCGCCCCGTGGCTTCCTGGGTCTGTGCGGGTCTGTGATTCAGGGCAGGTTGCGGGGGGCGCTCGAGGACGAAGACGGGAGCCAGCGAGGCAGGAGGCCGCCCCCTCGCCTGTGTCTGAAGGGCAGGGCGATGACTTGCCGGGTGCTCGTGGTCTGCACCGGGAGGGCTCAGAGGACAGAAGTGCCACCCACAGCCATGCCTAAGGACCAAAGTGCCCTGGGCAGTGCTGACCCCGGGGGGGGAGGGGATGTCCACCACTCCCCAGTCTGCTTGATCAAGGGAGGCGGAGGCTGGCACCCCCCCCTCCCGGCCCCAAGCCATGGGGCAGAGTCGGGGCTGGGCGGGGCGTTTCTCTCGACTTTCCATTCCGAACCACTGGATGAAACCCTTTGGTTTGTGTTTTGTCTTCAGGACTCCAATCCTTTTGCTACGATCGTCTTCTACTGGGAGCCCCTTAACCGCCAGGTGAGTTGCGCTCCCAGGCCGGGGGAGGAAGCGGCCGAGTGGGGGGGGGCTCAGCACCCCCCACACAGCGTCGGCATTGTGGTCGGTCGCTGGGACGCCCGGCTGAG